TATATATATATATATATATATATATATATGAGCTAGGTTTAAATGTTTCTCACATTTATTGTTTGTTAGAATGCACCAATAAAAATTTAATAAATATTAACTTATTATTTAATCAAATAGAGATAGATATTAAACAATTTCCATAATTATGTGTATATTATTTGATATCCATAAAAATAATTTATTTTTTATGGAAACTAATTAAATTCGTTATTAATATCAGCAATAATATATTTTCAGAATGAATTCGCAACTAGTTTTTCATGTATAGGTTCATATTTTGTTTAATGACTCACTCACTCAAAATATAACAAAGTTAACAAGAACATAGAGAACGAGAGCGTATTCTAGTAGAATGACAGTTTATTCTAGAAGAATGACAATATATTCTAACGGAATGAAGGTGTGTATTCTAATAGAATACACTATCGTTATTTATATTCAATGCAACTTTGTTGTATTTTAAGTAAGTGAGTTCATAAACAAAACACGAATACACACATTAAAACCTAGATGTGAATTTATTTTGAAATAATATTATTGCTGACATTAATGATAAATTTAATTAGTTTTCATAATAAAATAATTATACTTATTGATAGCATTTAATATAGATACAATTATGAAAATAATTTAATATCTATATTTTTTAATTAAATAATTATAATTTTACTAAATTACTGTTAATGCATTCTAGTACATAAAACATATAAGAAACACTGAACGTAACCAATATATATATATATATATATATATATATATATATATATATATATATATATATATATATATATATATATATATATATATATATATATATATATATATATATATATATCTTTTCATTTGATGTATTATTTTCAGCGTTGTAGTTTATTTAGGCAATGTATTTTGTATTTAATTAGTGGTAAAACTAAATGAAATATAATGTTCGTCAACGAGTCCATTAGAATGTCTTAATGAGATTTTTGTAGTATATGTTATATAAATTAATTTTAGTTTTAATGTTAAATTTATAAAAAAAATATTAATTAATTAATGAAGTAAGATTTTTGTAAACTTTCACCCACCACACTCAACTGAAATAGTTGCAAATACAGCCAAATTGGCAAAATTTGCCTTAAATTCTGCAAATGACCTAAACAACGCCATCAATGTCTTGGTGATTACCATGTGCACATGATGAAATCTTTAATATTTATATAATAATCTATACGTATAGTGTTCATATAATATATAATCAATAATTGAATGAAAACCCATTCTATAATTTTATATGAAATGTAACGGGTGTGGCATTTTATGGATCGACAACATGTTATCTAGACTTCATTAAAATAGAATAACAAAAAAGTCTAGCTTCGGTAAATTGTATCATTAATATTATTAAATTGTAATGAGATTAATTTGATAACTAATACGATCTTGATGAAATTATTACATTTGTTGCAATAAGACCTATGTATTACATGTGTTCATTTAAAAAAAATATGAAGTTCTAAACATTTAAAAAGTTTGAATTTATAAGAAAAAATAGAAAAATATTGAATTATTAGAATTAAATTGTTTGTTTTTCTTTTAAATTAAACAAATAATTTAGATAAATAAATAAAGGAAACTAATGAAACTTTAATTTAGAAAATTTGAAATTAAAAGGAAGTCAATTAATGAAATTGATATGCATTTATTATTATATTTATTGCAATTATTATATTTAAATATTATGTGGATATTAATAAAATGAAAAAAAACCACAAAATGTTATGTGAAAAAAAATTAATTGAAAATAACCACAAAATGACATGTGGTCAAATCAATGAAAATATGACATGTGATAAAAAATTCTTTATTTATTAGGAAATATTTAGGTTGTCGCAAAATACACATTTGTTTGAGTTTATTCAAGATTCAAAGTACACTTGTTATTTAAGGATAAAGCCCGTGAATCGACAGAGGTCTGGGGGCAGCTACGTAGCAGGGTCCAATGGCTAAAGCCCCTAGTTTGGAATTTTTTTTTATTTGGGTTAATATTGCTTTGTGAAAAATATATTAAAATCAGAATTTGAGAAAAATAACTTGGGTTTTTTACCCTAATATTGAACCTGATTTTAGTGCCAGTTTGAAATGGTTACGAAAGTGCCATATGGTGTTTTTTGGTAGTTTTCAGACAAGCTAGTTTTTAGACAAATGAGTGATCTTCTAATATTGGTCATTCTCATTTTTCTCGGGTACATCACAAGATCATAACATCTTTTCATTCTTTGTTATTGATATACACTAAGTTTTGGATTTAAAAATTTCGAAAGTACCATCGAAATACTTTGATCTGAAAGTGTAATTCACGACTCATAGTTTTTCAAGTATTCTAAACACCCTAAATTTCTAACATTCTGGGAATGCTTGTATTCAAGCCTTGATAATCATTATGCCCGTCATTCTCAAAAGTGGATCGGATTTCTCATATGTGAAAAGCTTAAGGCGTTCCACTTTACAATTAATATATTGATAGTGTTAGCGTTGAGATGATTGAAATGAATTGGGTTGGGATTTGATTTTCATTTATGGATTCCGTGATTGTAAACTGTTTTATTTGTTATTTTTTAGAGTTTTTGAAAAATATATGAGTTTACCACATTTTTATTTGTGGGAGATCATAAACTACACAAAAAAGACGGACATAAATGGTAGTGATGCATATTATTGGTCCAAGATCGGTCTCGAAACGGTGTGATTCTTTTGGGACCGGCCTTGAAACAGTCCGATCTTTTTTCGGACCGATGACAAACAGTTTGGAGTTGGTCTTTTTCAACCTGTTTTTTCTTGGTCTAGTCTTGCGGTCTTTGTTTGTTCTTTTTTCGGTTCGGTTTTGATATTTTTTGGTTTTTAGTTTTTCCAGGTACTAAATGTACGATTATCACCATAATGAGAAATTAAGCTTTACTAAAAATGATACACTAAATCTTCATAAAAGAAAGAAAGAAAAATATAGGTATTGCTTGATTAAAAATATATATATTTACCCCAAAAATATATAACCCATAGTGGGGTGAGGTTGGATGTTCAAATCTTTGGGACTCCATAAATCCTCTTTAATTGCTCATTGTGGGAGAATTTTCCCTGAAAATTCCGTCAGGAGCTGAGTTTGCCCGCTTTACGGAACTCAAACCTGGGGTGCACATTTAAAAGTACGTGTAGGCTCCATTAATTCATTTACTGTTTCCAAAAAAATATAAACTTTGGCTTTTTATCTTTCTCAAAATCGGTCTTGGAATGTTTTTTTTTAGGCTAGTCTTGGATTAGTTATTTTTGGACTTGTCCCGAAGTATATTGTCATGGCTTTTTAGGGACCGGACCTTTTCGGTCCAACCTACTCGTTTTTTCTTTTAGACCGGTCTGAAACCATTTATTTTGTTCATGTGATGGATGCCTGAATGATAGCAGGCACTTTTGACTCCAATTTCTCTTCAAATTCATTCTCTTGCTCTACACATATTTAATCAATCACAGTCACATACAATTACACAAACACACATATGGCCCACGTGAGGTTGGCTATTTTGACTCCGACTTTCTTTTCTTTATCTACACATACAAACAGGGATGGACCTACAATGGACTTGTGGGCATCTGTCCCACAGAAATTAATAACAATAATTAACAAATTTATAATTTTACTTAAAGGTTTGTAAATTGTCCTTTCAAATTTTATCGCAAATAGAAATAGAAATAAAGCCCTTTAACTTATAGTTTAGAATTTAGACTTCTTCCTATCTAATATTCCACACAGAACTTGCAAAATTTTACTACCGGTCCATGTAGAAAACGTGAATCTCCATAAATTCCTTTACACCTTTCCATTTACATATTAAAAACATCACCAAACAGTTTACCCACCAGCTAAGTAGCTATGTAGGAGATGCATTTTTTTTTTTTTTCATATATTTTGTTTAAATAGGCTTAAGATCTTAGATAATATATAAATTTGTTCGGATCTAATAATCGGAATGGTTTAAAATTTACATCAAATAAATAATTTGGTCAAAAACTGGTTTCAGAAAAAATGTGTTCACCACCAAAAAAAAAAAAAAAATGCCCCCACAAAATATAAATTCATGTGTCCAACCGAGTTTGACCAGCTCGAGCTCGGCTCGTTTAAATTTTTTGGGACGAAGGCTCGAACTTGGCTTCTTTCGAACCTTATAGAACTAGAAACCAGCTTGTGAAAAATTATACGAGCTCAAGCTCGGCTTGGGCTCAACTCGTATACGGTACCCAAATTCCCTAAAATGGTGTCTATTTTTTTTTTTATATTAATACATAAAAATAAATAAAAAAAAAAGAAAATTTTATATCATATAAATAGGTTCATTTAGGCTCACAAACATAATCAACCTTGGTAACCCAGGCTTGAACTTGAGCGCATTGAATAAACAATCCTAATATTAAGCTTGAATTGGCCCAAATTCGTTTAAAATTGATTTCGATTCAAACATTTAATGAGTATATCCCAAATAGCTTACAAGTAGCTTGACTTGTTCACAGTGTACACGGCTAACAAAGGGAGAGAATGACCCATTGGTGTCTTTCATTAAGTTAACAATAATAGTATGCCAAAGTCTAAACTATAAAAAAACACTAAAGAAATGACATCTCAATAACCAAACCCTTGAAACCGGATAAAAATGCTAGATTTAATCTTGTATGATTTCTTCCGAGATTAGCAACTTAGCAAAGGCAACTAGAAGATCTAAGTAAGTAAAATAGTCATGTTTGGTATTATGGAGAACAGGAGAACTTCATGTAATGATCTAGGGTGAAGAAATGAAGAGTGAAGTTTGTTTATAAAATACGTGGCAACAAAATTAAATTCGCTACAAGCTCGAGTAACTAGCTTAGCGTGAAAGAGAATAACAACACAAGTTCAAGCATCTTGCAATTTCAAGCAAAGACTCTTATTTATGTTCCAAAGCCTTTGACAAATTGGGGTAATATCAACCTCTAAGGTTTCTTTCCTCTCTTAGAGAAAAAAAAAAAAACCCATAGGGAACAACTACTAATGGAATAATCAACGTTTATAACCATATAACTCAATCTACCAAAAATTACAATTACAATGACAACAAGTCTCATAGTTATTGAGTTTATATTTATAATAACAAGATAAATTGTAGACTTATGGTCCCTGGCCACACCCGTCCAATGAGAGGAAATCACAGAACACATCACGAGGGCAATTGAGTAGATATTGGGTTAGGACTAAGGAAATTACCAAACAGTCCTTGGCAATCATGTGGCAGCAACTGTCTTCTTCTTCTTCTTCTTCAATGCAACAGGAGAGTTTAAATTATGTTCATGACTTAACCCCCAAATCACATTTACACCATCTCTTCCTCTTCAAAAGATTTTGCATGTCTTCCACCTAACAGGCACAAGTCTACCAATAAATCTATATTTAAAGCTCACAGAATCACAGCCTTACTTGTTAATTGCTAATGTTATCGACAAGTTACTGTGAAATCTTTTAATCTAAGTGTGTTGTTGGTGTATAATTATAACCAACAAGTTTTAATGAAGTGTTCACAATCAAAGTTGATATTTTCTACCTACAGGCTGATTTCTTGAATTATGAATGAGATAAGTGACGAAAAAGGTAACAAAACAAGTAAATTAACCCAATTTTTATGTAAAAAAACAAAACGAGAATCTCACCTCTATTTGCTTGGATAATTATCCAAAATCGGGGATAGAATTTCTAGTTATCATTAGGAGTTCTACTTTGGTGAAATGGTGAAACTGAACCAAAATTGTTTCCAGACCAGTCTCTTGGTTGCATCATCATATTATACGGATGTGAATGAGGGTCGAAACCTTGATGATATGCACTGCCGCCGCCACCTGACCGATTAGACACCATCTGCGGCGGTGGGTAGGGCAAAGGCACCATCTGCGGTGGGTATGGCATTGGAATGTGAACATGAGAGCGACCATTTCTATTTCCAACGCCGCCATTGCCACCGGAATCGTGAAAACTATTGGGAACAGTAGCGGAAGCGAACAAAGGATCGGAAGAAGATGGCCCTTCGTTAGATGATCCGTGCATCCGTTTTACATAAAGCCTATACTTCTGTAAATGACTGGCGACGTTCTCTCTGGTCAATCCTTCAACGTTCATCATCTGCATAATCGTTTTAGGAACAGCGTTCTTCACGCCTAAATGCGCAACAACCTCCACAAATCGCTTGTGCAGTTGAGGAGTCCAAACCAAACGAATCCTTTTCAACGACTTTATGGAAGAATCATCGGCTCGCAAAGCGGAGTCAGCTTCCTCTCCAGCTCCACCACTAGCGCCGCCGCTATCAACTCTCCGTAGTTTCCTCGAATCGGAACCATCTGGAGTCAGATCGACGGTCTCCTCGCCTTCCACAACCATTTCTTCCTCTCTATCATCACTAAACGACTTAAAATCAGTAAGTTTATTCACCTGATTTTGTTGCGATTGCCCTTGGAGACTTGAAATTGTGTTACGAGAAGCGCGGTCAACGTCAATCATACTCCGGTGAGGCCCCGGTGTGATGCTGAAAGCCGATGCCATCTCCGCCGATATCAGCAACTGTGATAACGACGGCAAGTCGTCGACGTTCGGCAACCCAGCCTCCCACTCCGAAACTAGGTCGTCGTCATCTCCACCGCTGACATCGAAGTCGGTAATTCTGACTTCCTCTCCCATAGCAATAAATTGGTAAGCAATTTGAACCGATTTCAACGAATTAAACGCCCTGGATAACAATTTTTGGAGTAGGATTCAGAGATTGGAGAAATTTGATCAGGTCACGTGTGAATGATTGGAAACTGGGGTAGATATTTTCGAGGGGAAAAAAAGGGTAAAGTGCAAGGGGAAAGTGCACCATCTGGATTCCAGACAGGATTGAAGTATCTAGATGCCAGCGTGGTTATCTTACCCAATATTAGATATTTTTTTGATTTTGTCAGGTCGCTCAAATTGTTATTATTATTATTTTTTTAAAATTATTTATTTATTTTAATTAAGAAACTAGAGTTATATAGATAAAATCGTAAATTTGGTTACGTTGTATGTCAAAAATTGTGACGTTGTTCTAAAATATTTTGGAATTGTAGGGTTGGTTCAAAAAATATTATTTTTGTGTGATTTTGGTCTAATTTGCTTTATATTTTTTTAAAATAGAATTATGTTGATATGTTCTTATCTTTTTCTTTTTCATTTTATATTTATAAGAAAATAAAAAATAATAATCTAACCCACCCTTATTGTCTTGCCATACCATGACCTCTTTAAGATATTGTTCTTTTCTATCTCTCTATCTCCTCTCACCACCACCATATCAACCGGCCGGAAAAACCTGAAAACCATAACCACTACCACTTGTGGAAAAATCCTAACTCCACCTCTATTACCCGCTGAAAGATCGACATGAGCAACAATCCAAGGTTGGATCATGGAAGAACAAAAACCATAAACGATGTGTGTGCTCCTAAGGTCAACGTGATATGAAATCCTACACTCGACCAAATTCGCCTGCTTAATTAACCAACTCAATGTCGTCCTTACATGCCGCAAAATACATACTTGTTGGTGCAAGCCTATACCTAACCGCAACCACAATTGTGTCATACTCCTTGGCGATCCTCCGACAAAACAGATCATTAGTCAACGAAACACTACTCTTAGTCACAAATCCACCTCCGTTAAACTGTAAAACCACCGATAATTTATGTAAATTGTGAACTAGAGTTGGCGAGTAACCACGATAAACCCCATCTCTCTACTTTAACCCCTAGATTTGGCAAGTACTGAATTAGGTAGAAAGATTCGGAGGGTTAGAGGTTCAATGGATCGATATGAATACCTTTGGTAGCTACACCGTCTTTAGAGAAGCTAGGGTTGGTTAGAGCAGCTGATTCATTGGGGCATGAGATGACGCCAAATTGATTGAAGATTTTGGTATGGGTTTCAGTGAGGGTTTGTAATTGGTGTTTCAGGATGAATTTATGAAGAACACTATAGAATTTTACAAATATATATATATATATATATATATATATATATATATATATATATATATATATATATATATATATATATATATATGACATGTTGAACAAGCAATTGAAGAATAAGATTTGGTAAAGAACATTTATGGGAGGGGTGGGGGATTTGGGGATTAGTTAGCGTTTTAGAGTGATAAAAGAGACTTGTTAGATTCAAAATTGGGGAAGAAGGTTCGATGTGGGTGGGTGAGTTTATATTTTGTTTTTGTTATTCTATTTTAGATAAATAAATAGTAAAGTAAATAAAAAGAAATGGAAAAAACAAATAGAAAGGGAAAAATGTCATTTCAAACACATTCAAATCTGAAATGGACCAAAAACGCAACAAAAACCTTATTTTGGATCAATTGTGCAACTCCAAAACATTTTGGACCACAGTCCCAATGTTTCACAAACCATAAGAATCAAATTTCAATTTTGTCTATATGATATAACTAGCCATGTACTTTACAAAATTACAACTATGAATAATTTCTTTTGACAATTAGTTCTATTACATGTTATATTTCAAGGGACACATATATATTGTATTTATTGCAATACAAAAGAAATAAATTTTAACACTTAGAATTGTACATTTAAATGAATAAACTAAAGTTAGATGTTATAAAAGTCAAATACAACAATTTTCCTTTTGAATAGATGTACAATACAAAGTTATACGTAGAAATTTGAAGCAAAGAAGGTTTAAAACATCATTTTTGCTTGAAAGAACCATTATGTAGCCATGGATGGACATATGTATGGTCTACAAAACATTTTTAACACCATACACTTCAATTTTATCAAGGGCATGAGCGCCCACTCCTACCCACTCCACTCCTACACTCATTACTTGCATTCATTATTCCTAATCTCCACTACATTCTCGTTCTCCACTTTGATATTCTTTTAGTCTCGAACACATTCTCGTTCTCTAGTTTTATATTCTCTGCCTCTTCTCTCTCTCTTTATATTTGTCATCAACAACCAATCTATCCATCATTGCACACTTGATTTGTGATGTGTTGTTGTAACATCCCGAATCCCATGTATAAATTTGAAGCTTTTATATTCATATTTTGGACCTACTCGATGAGTTGGAGGACCCCAACTTGGTGATTTGAGCTTGTGCATGAAAAACTTAATTTTTAGGGTTTGCACCCTATTTAAAGGACCTTAAGTCCCTTTTCTAATTTCTCTTACCACCTTCACATCCAAAAACAAACCCTAATTAATCTAACCTCCTATTTTGAGTGTATGTGAGGCTAAAGAGTGTGTATTTGGTGCATTTCGTGAAGAGACTTGAAGATTTAGAAGCTTGGAACGAGAAGGAGCTTGTAGATCCAACATCTACTTTGCTTTGGCATTCATTTGAAGGTAAAAGGTCATTACCTTGATAATTTTCTTGTTAGATCTCTCTATTCAAGAGTTTAGGGTCATTTCTAGCTTATTCTTGAGGCATTTCTGGTATTGAGCATGTTTTGAAGCGAGGAGTTCAGATCTGAACTCCTCTAGGCCCTTGTGGACATAAAGTTCTCGACTTTAACAAGCTTTGACCTTTCTTCATTCCCTAAACCTCTTGTTAAGCTTAGTTCTAGTGTTTTAATCCCTTTGAGGCCTTGCATGCACATAAAGTTGGCAAATTTATGTGGTAGAGGGTTAAGATCTACAGTTTGGAGCCTTGGTTTCGATTAAAAGCATCTGAATGAGAAAAGGGCTGAAGGAACTCAACGCGTTGCATAGCCAACTCGACGAGTTGGATGGGGTTTACACGCCTTCTGGATTCTGGGTGAACGTGGTGAGTAGGTGAGATGACTCAGCGAGTTGGTTAGGGTTTTTCCCAGTCTTCTGGACACTGAAGAACTCGAAGCGTTACTGAGGTAACTCGGCGATTTGACTCAAGTTTTTGGTTTTTGAGTTCTGAAGGAACTCGACGAGTCTGTGGATGAACTCGACGAGTTGGGTCAACATGAACTGTTGACCTTGACCGTTGGCTCTAACTTTGACTATGGGTTGACTAAGTATGACTTTTGAGGGTATTTTGGTGATTTGGTATTCTAATGGAATCAGTTATATGATGGTTACAGGCAGTTGAGTTTGGAGCCGAGAGTTAGGGATTGATATTCTTGATTCAACACTACTTGTGAGGTGAGTTGTCCTCACTATACTAACAGGTTCGAAGGCACCAATGCCTACCCTTTTTATTATTATTATCCTGGTTATTGCATGATGATATGCTTACTGACCTGTTAGGTTGGTATCCTAGTATATAGGATGTTGCTATGTTAGTGACCTATTAGATCGATATCCTGGGATATAGGATGATGCTATGTTAGTGACCTGTTAGGTCGGTATCCTGGTATATAGGATGATGCTATGTTAGTGATCTATTAGGTCGGTATCCTGGTATATAGGATGATGCTATGATTAGTGATCTGTTAGATCGGTTTGATTGTTTGTGTATGCTAGCTAGTGTATGATATTTATGTGTTGATTGTATGATTGCGAGTGGCTTGAGGCGGTCTTGCTTCATGCTGTAGGCCAACAGACCCATAGTAGAGCGAATAGACTGCAGATCCATCAGGGAGTATCATTCAAGCCGAAGGCCCGGAGAACGGTCCATACAGGATGAAGGCACGGGTGGGGGGACCAAACATGTTGAAGGTTCTGAGAGTGGGCCAAATGGACTGAAGGCCTAGTGATGGCGGTCCAGTCATATTGGAGACTCTATATGCATGTTTTTTTTTGTTATGATATGGTTATGGTTTGTATATCATTGGTATTTTGGGGGAACTCACTAATCTTTGGGCTTATAGTTTTGGATTTTATTTTAGGTACTTCGGATGATCGTGGGAAGGTGAAGGCTTGATCGTGCAACTCCTCACATTTTATGATTATGATTTCTGGGATACTCTAATATGAAACTATTTTGAAAACATTTGTAATAAATATTGGTTTTTGGATGTTTGAAAAAGTTTTAAATTTTCATAAATTTTATGGATGTTATAGTTGTGATCCATTTATCAAAGTTAAAGCAAAAAAAATGAGAATAAGATATACTATGTGTCGGATACTTGTATACACTGTATGATAATATGTACGTATCAAGAGTTTAAGTAATTATTGTTCTTACATGCGCAAAGTGTCATGCGTCAGATAGTCTTATTTTGGTAAATGATTGGTTTAATAGTAAAATTGTGTTTGTTTTTGGTTTAGAAGTATACTTATAGTGTTTTGGATTAGGTTTAAAACTATGATTTTAGGGAAAAACTCGTATATTAACTTTGTTCCTATAAAATCCCTTTCATGTTTATATATAATAAGTTGTGGTATTCTGCTAATATGATGTGTATGTTGGATTAAAGTGTTTAAGCCAATAACTAAATTGGTATATTCTTGAATTAGAAGCAAAATCCTTTTTGGGTTCCTCTCAAAACTAATATTTATATAGAATAACTATTGGAGGAAGATGTTGAATTGCTTATTTGTTATATGATTAATGAATTAGAATAAATAGTATATTAATATATTATATGATTAATATGTTAATAAGAAATAATAATAATAATAATAATTAATTTGGAATTAATCAGAAATTAATTGGAATTAATTTTAGGATTAATTGAATTAATTAAAAGTACAGAGACTGTTTGGTTATTTATTGAAAGTTGAAGTAGGAAAACTCTAGAACTCCATGGGATAGAGGCGAACGAAATATGGATAGTAATAACCTAGAATTTTTGTTCACGAAGCTTAGGAAAATGAGATAAGACAACTTGATTATTATATTAATCGACAACGAGGTTCACGGCCATGAACCCTTCGGACCGTGAACCCTCGCATAAATATATATATATATATACACACACACACACACATACATACATATATGTTTCAGCTATTTTTTACTTCATTTTTACACTTTCAAACGAAATTCCAACCTTTTTCTCTCAAATATCATCAACCAAGAACAACCTCTCTCCCCAGGAACATGCTAAATTCATCCTTTCTCATAAGATCTAACAGGTATCATTTCTTGATCTTGTTATCATTTCAAGAACATCCTTCAATCTTCTTATACTAGGCTGAAAACCCGGTAATTTCACTATTTTACACGACGAACATGAAGAACACGCCAAGAAAACGAAGAACACCCGACTGAAAACCTTTGAATCTTCTTAGAAACTTGCTTAGGATCTTCAGGTGTTCTTCATTCACCAAGAACACAGGGTCATGAACACCATCAGGGTCGTGAACACCTCATGGGCCATGAACCCTCTTGGCCGTGAACTCAATTCATTCTCGATTTTAGCTACTAACACTCCTATTTGTAAGTTATAGTTACAAATTAGTCTAATTTCCAATCATTCCTATGATTATTTTAGCTAATTGGTTGCATATACACTA